GGACCTTTCCCTTGCTCAAAGGAAAGGAAATTATGGAATTAAAACAGTTTAGTAATGTAAAGCAAGCATATGTTATTAAATTTAATCATCATGCTCCGAAACCACAAAAATCACTAATACTTGTTTCCGGCCGATCAGCCGGAGATAAGTATTAGTGATTTTCGTCCTGTACCGGGACATAGTCGCTCGGTCCTATAGACGTCCATGCATTGAGACGAATAGATCGTCAAGCTCCTGTGGATCGAACCGAACCTTAAACACAAATCGACCGCCATCTTTGGTTCTACCATTTAACGCAGTGGGTAGGTGTATATAACGTAACATCGATGTGACACACGTTGACACGGCAAGAATACATAAGATAAAAACAAATAGTTTGTTAACGCTATTTCATGTCGTTTGTTACGTGTGAATATTAGTGGCAACACGTTTCGGTGTCACCTCCTTTGAAAAATCACCCATCAAGTGCAATGGATCAATCCAAAAATGACATCACTTCCAGGGGTCGCGTGCTGTGAAATGAACAGCGAAAGCAGCAAAAAATAATAAATCAGTGAAACAAACACTGTGTTCTACGCGCACGACGCTATTGGGAAAAGTACGATGCTATTGGGGTTAGGTCAAGGCGGCGGGTCATCTGAAATAGGTGGGTCGAGATGTCTAGGGGTCCTGGGTCGAGTTGTCCAATGAAAAATGGGTCGAGATTTTTTTGGGTCGAGATGTCCAGCACCCGTTAGAGGTATGAGCACTTTATTTCAGAAGACTCCATTCTATATAATTGCACCATTGTCTATTATTTACACTTGTAATCTGAGTTTTGTTTCCCAATCTGTTTAATCAGTCTAAGTAGCAACAGTTACTTGAAGAAGAAGAATATTATATGTCACCAACAATTTGAAACATTGATTACTAATTCATGGAACTCAAATGTTAAGCTGCAACTAAATTGATCTAATTCCTTAAACATCGAAAGTCTTCAATTATTAAGAAGTTATCAATTACTGTAAAACCATTTATTTTCATTATTATTTATTATTTTGATATTTTGAGCATAATCATTGGGTTCTTGAATTTACCAGGAAAACAATGAGTTCTATTGTTATTCTACATGTTCATGTGGATTTAATTTAGTTCGAGTAATAATAATAAGATTAGAACTCACATCATAGTTTAACTGTATACATGACAATATATTATCTCTTGACATCTTCGCTGTAGCGAGGATGTGAAGCTGCTCCCATCCCCATGACATTTCTGACTACTGTAAAATGACTAATTTTCACTGGGTTTAAATTTCACTGATTTACCATTTCAGGCATATTCAGTGGGTTTTAAATTCACGGTTTTATCATTTAGATAATGTGTTCTATGCTAAATTTTACATATTCACTGTGTTTTAATTTAGCGCATTTTTCCAGTCAGCGAAATAAGCTAAATTAAAACCCAGTGAATAATTACCCCCTTTACAGTATTTTAAAATGGTTAAAGTAATTCACAAATTATGGTTCAACTGCAATGTTGTGTAGAATATGGGTGTGCAGTTTTATATACCCCACCATTTTGTAACTAATTTTTAGAATACTTGTATATAAATCAATGTTTCATACCCAAAACTTGCACTGCAAACATCATAAGCCCTAAGACTAATTTTTCTCTTCGAAATGGCCAAATAATTACACTTGTG